TGGATCGAGATTTATAATCTTCAAGGATCCAACAACCTTGACCCCAATCTCAACAGTCACGATAATGGTTTGAGATATTATGTATAAACTAAAAAATTAAATAATTACTACGCCAAATTAAAGCCAGTGAATGTCATTTGGCGTAGCGGAAATAGTGTGGAAATATGACTCCTTGTATACAGGTTCAAATCACAAAGGCAGCATGTTTTTTTGGCTTCTACTTTCCATTGTAATTAATGGTAAGTCATTAATAGATAAATAATTTCTTTAAAGGCAAGTAAAACGTTTTTTTTGGTTGAATGTCTTCTACTTTCCATGTAGGAGTTAGTTTTGATTTCCTCCTGCTTTTATGGTAGGTTGATTTTTTTTATTATTCTTTTTTCTTTTTTGCTTTCGTTCCCCACAAATCATTTGCTAGATATTATAATACACGAAATGCACCTTTCAGACTATGTTTCTAAGTTCTATTTATTTGAACTTGGTTAAGTGTTAATTTATGTTCTTTTCATTTATGAACTACCATTTGTTGCCTTTGTGAATTATCCATTTCTGTTTTTTGATTTGTGTTAAATTGGTTTGCCAATTGGCAGTCTCACTACATTATCTCATATAATGAATGGAAGAGATTTGGGACTAGAATGCATTAATAGTAGCACGGTTATGTAATTCTTACGTTGTAATAACTCAATGGAATTAAATAAATACTTTTGTAATACTAATAGAGGGAAAATGAAAAAAGGACTAATTTGTTCAAAGTACCATAACTAAATTAAATTCATATTTTACATCAAGTACCACCTCAAAAGGATAATAAACTTACAAAAGATAGTAGCGTTCACATATCCATTACGTTTACAGATCATTAGAGATTACAGAGAGGCGGACCATTACTAACATTAATCCGATACATATTAATAATACCCAATGCTACTTAGTTATCCAAAGGCGGGAACAACTTTACCAAGAAGAGATCAAAATAATTCCCCACGTTGTTCCAAGGACCGAATGTGACCAATACCTCATATGCCTTCTCACCAATCAAGTTGAGAAGTGTAACATAGTCCGCATTTTGAAGCTCAGAAGGACTGACAACAGAAGACATGATTCTCCGTAAGTAAGCTGATGGGAACACGACCTCAACATCAGTAATGTCATATGCCAAATTCGGGACCTGCTACATGCCACTCAGATGGTCTTCTGCACCAAATACAATCACATACCCTATAAAACATATTAATGGAATTCCAACATTTTATTCCTAATTTTAAACGTACCCTCAAGAAAAACCAAGTTATGTGGCCAGCTTTAATTGACAAATGTGTGGCATTTTCTAAATCAATATAGTGTAACAAGCATTAAGAACACAACTACATTAAGAACACAAATACCAATTGCTTCTACACAACATTTAGGATGACAACTACGTTTTCAGAAACCTTTTGCTTCTCATATCAATGTCGATTAATTTCCTACCATATAATAACGTGATGCAACATAAGAATAACCAATATTAGGTTCAGTACGACAATCACTATCAATAAAGCTTGAATTACATGGATTTCATGATTAACTCTCCTTCCTTCAGCTAGCATAATTTCATGTGCCTTCATCCATCTTGATAGCTCTTCAGCCAAAAGTTTCTTCTCCTTCTTCCTCCTTTCCGCCTTACACTCAGCTAGCCTCAAACTTTCTTCAATATTCAAAGTCGAACACCCAATTTCAGAGTCATGGTGCTTATCTTCATCGACATTCATTCGCACCCACCTAAAAAAACGACAGTTCTTCTTCTCGTCCTGCACCATACGACCATTTAACTTAGAACCCACATCAATGACAATTTCAAAACACATATCAAAACACCTTACCATCCAAAATGGACACCCATAGAACTGTCTTCCTGGGTTCGCTTCGGTTCCAGATGTATTCACCACACATGGCTTCTTGTGCCAACAGAGTACCGCCCCTCGGCTATTGATGCTAGTCAAAGTTGAGGAAGATGCTCGCTTGGACATGGCTGACCTTCGCGTGAAGTTCTGGCCAGGAGAAATCGCGATTTCGGGGTCGCGAATCGGCCGAGAAGAAGTGGGATTTGGGGAAGAAGGAAGAAGCGCCGAGTCGTTCAGAAACTAGAAGAAGATTTGGGGAAGAGGAGTAAGCATCGATCAGCTTCGTGTATCTCCTTCGTGGGGAAGAGGAAATTTGGGAAGAACCCTAATTTCGTTTTCTAGAAAGAGATGGAGAAGAAGGAAGCCCTAATTTCGTTTTCTGGAAATAGATGGGGATTTTTGGTAGCCTCGTGCGATCAGGTAGATGGGGAAAGTTTTAAAATTTTTTTAATAATAAATAAATTATTAAGATGACGTGTCAATTTTTGCTTTGTTGTCGCTGACGTGGTTGATGATTTGGCACCTCGTCAGCGAACCGTCAAATAAGTTGACAGAGTTATTAACGCCGTCATAGTTTCTAACGAAAATGGCTATATCTGGCAACCAACATTAGGGGTGAACAAACATACCCGCAAACCGACCCACCCGTCCAAACCGACCCAACCCGTGTTCCAACTATTAGTATGAGTTCGTATCTAAAAAATATTTATGTCGTATATAGCCATACTTATGAGAAAATTAAGATATTTCACCATGTTTTTTTCTCATGGTCTCCCTAATCTAATGCATTATTCGACTTAAAGTTTAGACACAAATTGAATATAGTTATGATTCACGTAATCGTTTTTCGTGTGTACAATTTTAATAGAATAACATATTGTGGGTGCGTTTATTTATAACCTTTTTAGCCTATTTCAACAAATATCGTAAAAAAACTAGACATATTTTGAAGTAAATCACATTTTATTAAAACTCAGACAACATATGTGAATTTTGATACCTTTCACCACGGTTTATTCGTTTGAAATTTTAATTAGTTATAAAATATTTTAATGATGTAGAATAATTATATATTTTATGTTGGGTTGGGTTTTTACTTAAAAATATCGCCAACCCGACCCAACCCAATTAGAAACAAGCCGTAGGGTTTAAATTTTTTAGGGTGGGTTTGGGTTTGATATTTTCCAAACCGTAGTGCATGGGTTGGGTGATAAAATGGCTAAACCCGGACCACCCGACCCATGTACACCCCTACGCAACATCTTTCAAAAGTGGCTATTAGAGGTATTTCGCCAAATGTGGCTATAAGTGGCACAAAGGTAAAAGTTTTGGCTATGCAAGTGTATTTTGCCTATAATTTATAATGACCGTTAGATTAGATCTACGATAGAGAATCATACAAGTATTCATTCCATAGCCCAACTCCTTCGATTTAAAACTAGATCGTCTAACTGAAGCATGCCATCACTATCAAATTGTATCGATTAAGATTTGCTATTGCTAATCTCAATAATCCAAATTGTACCAAATAAGATTTGCTATTGCTAATCTTATTCAGTTATGATAACCAATACATTTCCCAAACACTACAAATACGTTTTAGTTAGAAGGCCATTAAAGATTTGCTATTGCAAACCTTAAATTGAAACTAATTAACATTTTATTAAAAATATTTTAACCCTGACAAAAACTGGTGTCTACAAGTAGTATGGAAGGTTTATTGTCCAAATGCATGGTATGCACATGTAGATAGCTTTTTCATATAATATAGTCACGGTAAAGCCATTGACTTCTATCGAAGAGAATTGTCGTCGTCTTCATTTATTTTGCTTTACTTCCTTAATTATTTTTGTTATTATGTTTATTTGTTACAAAATATGTATATAAAACGTGTACATTTAAACTATCAAAATACCTGTACAGCATTGATGGTTAAGATTTGCTATTATCATCACAAGGTTGCCTGTTCGATTCTCCATATTCTCTTATTTCTTTTACCCACATCCATGTAATCATGTTTCAGCTACGCTTGTGGAACGACGTCGTCCTTGGGACACTCTCGCTTTAGCAGCAAGCACAAACGACGACGTTTGTCATGTCTCATCATCTTCCCTGGGCAGTAATTGGAGATAACCATGGTTTTGATGGTTGTTGGGTTTTGATGGCTGTTGGTGAGATAAATGGTTAGCTATGGGGTAGCTTGGGTGAACCGTGAACAAATAATGGCCTTTTGGGTAGTCGAATTGGGGTGTGGTATGTTGATGATACAGTAATTTGAACCAAATTAACATGAATTTTGTTTCATAACTTTTCATTAGGCAACTGATCCCATTTATAAGTAATAGAGAAATGTTTCGATAAGTATAGAAAGATACAAGGAACAATTCATTAAGAAGGGCAGAACCCGTACAAAAAAGCATTGTGTTCACACACTTAGTACACTTGCATAACAAGAGAAATAACATTAAGGCGGACACTAAGCAACTTTAGTAGATTCTATTGACATTGCTGAAATGGTATTCAGTTTCAGGGAGGAAAAAATAATTTTACCAATAACAGCTCAAAATAACTCGACACATTGTTCCAAGGACCCAATGTGACCATAAACTCATACGAGTTTCCACCAATCAAGTTGATAAGGGTAACGAAATCGGCATTGGCCATATCTTTATCACTTACTACATCTGAAACGATTTTGCGCAAGTTTGTCGATGGGAAAACAACCTCAATATCCAAATAATCATCCTCGATAGTTAGGTGGATCAAATGAACTCTACATTCAGCACACCAGGATGTCTTCACCTCGCCGACACGTCCGGAGATGAGGTAAGCAGTGCCCTGGTGTTTAAAACAAGAAAAGGAATTTCAAAAAAAATTAACAAGCATTAACAAACACAATAATTGCAAACGAGATCGAAAGGATGAATGACAAAAAAGTTAATTTCAAATTTTCAATAACCTCATTGTCACCATTCTCTTGCAACAATGTAAGATCGATTGAATCCGACAAAATAGACATATGTACTGCTTCCTCATACTTCAGCTTTGCAACGAAACCAGGCTCAACCAGAAAGTCGCTATAAAAAAAAACCGTTAGACGTTAGTAATGGCTGACAATAGGAAAAGGAAGCGGAGTAGACTGTCGTAACGATTAGTTGGTAAACAATACTTACGGGTACCATTGCGATATATCATCCATTGTCAGAAAATTACAGCACGGAAACCCTACTCAATTTCTATTCTTGCACGTACTGTGGATGTTCAATAGGAGTATAAGAACACATTATGATCAACTATTCTAATAGAACATACCAAATAGTTAACAATCAATTAAAGAAAAGTACCTGCGGCGGTGGAAACGTGGCCGGCGACACCGCATGGTTAGTCGAGCAGATCGGGAACGAGTCAGCGGCGGAGGTGGCAAGCGACGATGGTGGCCCGCTCTTCTTCCCACAACCGATGTGGTTAGTCCGGGCGACTTTCCTCCGCTCTTCTTCCCACAACCGCTACAGCGAATCAGCGGCGGAGGTGGCAGGCGACGATGGTAGCCCGGAGGAGGAGACCGCTACTGAGCGACCAGCGGTTGCTTGACAGGCGGAGGCGGAGACATGCAACGGCGGCGGAGGGAGGATGAGGGCGGTTGAGTTTGAGTATGTGTCTGAACATTTTGAAGGAAAACCGAAAAGGCAGCGCATGGGGAGGGGAGAAAAAGCAGAAGATAAATCGTTTGCTAGATTTGGTAGGTAAGTAGTCTTCCAATTTTCAACTTTGCCATTATTGTTCTCTGTTTTATTTTATTTTTTACAATTGATTATTGTTAAAGAGACAAAGGGAGGGCAGGGGCAGCCGCCGATCTGCTGGACTAAGCCCTATTGGGCCTGGTACAAAAGGCCTGCTTAGGTTAGTTTTGTGTTTTAATTTTACAAGAACTCATTTTATAATTATAAATAGGGCTAATACCACTACAACACCCAAACTATCGCGAAAATGCCACTTGTGTCCTATTGTTTCCAATATTCCATCTGTGTCATGAACTATGATTCCGTTAGTGTTGACTTTTGTTGACCGTTAGTTTTTAACAGAAAATCTAGTCAGCACTGATGTGGCAGCTGACGTGGAATTTTTAATATTAATTTTTTCCATATAATATTAATAAAATAAGAAAAAGAAAATAATTAAAATAAATAAATAAATCCTACCTCTTCTTCCCCGAATCCCCCTCCATGACTTCCTGCTACAATTTTCTCCAGATCGCCGATTCTCTCTTTCTCTCTCTCTCTCTCTCTCTCTCTCTCTCTCTCTCTCTCTCTACTTCCAATCTGGATGTCTCTGCCTCCCCCATCTTAGCGGCGGGTATGTTTGATCCCAACCCCAAGCCACCCCACTACTGCAACTTCCATCTTCTTCCTTTCTCTTTCTTAATCGAGCATGGGCGAGAGTAGGAAGATTAACCGCCGCCTACGCAAATCCTCTCTAGATTCATCGCCAAAATCTTCCATCATTGAACATGAATCATGGGCTGAGAATTCCTCTGTCTCCGATGATGGGATTCAAAGAATCGATTTGGATTCTGGCGATTACCCGATTTGGGATTTTGATTTTCAATTAACCCCATTCTCTGGGTTCCGGCCATAGTAGCGGCACGATGAAAGATTGGTGAGTTGGGTTATCTTTCAGAGAGATTCTCATAGCCGGATTGGGAGATTTTTGGCGAGTTGGCGGTGTAGTAATGGTTTGGCGGTGGCGGCGGGGAGAAGAGTGGAGGCGGCGGTGGCCTCGGGTTCTCGAAGACGAAGCCCGGCGGGATCGTCACGTTCTCACCGCGGTCGCCGAACTCGTCCTTGTAGTACAGGAGCTGCCGCCGGCGGAGGTAGGAGACCTCGGCTTGAGTGAGTGTTCCATGGCTGGAAATGGCTGGTGGGATCTCTGCATCAGAAGACGAGTTGACAAGGGAAAGGGAAACGAAGGAGAGGAGGAGGAGAAGAAGAGGGAACAAATTGGTATTCTTCTCCTTCATTTCAAATTAGCAACATCTACTGCTCACTAGCAAAAGTGCCACTCCAATGGGGCTTTTCTTTCGAGTTCTTGCTTTGATTTTCCTCTCAAACATGAGCCAAAGCTTGAATCTTTGGCAGAGAAGAAGAAGAGTTTTTTATTATTTTGTTTTAAAATTTTGGTTTAATAACATAATTGAATTTACCTTTTCTTTAATTTTAACTCATTTTTTTATTTAATTTGAATAAAAAAATATTAGGTCAATGACGTGGCACCTATGTGGCAGCCTCTTTTTTTGCCACGTCAACAAAAGTCAACTTCGCGTTGACCACCGTTTGGTCAACCGTTATCTTTAACGGTCAACGAAATTGACAGGATACAAATGACACAAAGTATCATAGTTCAGGACACAGATGGAATATTGGAAACAATAGGACACAAGTGGCATTTTCGCGATAGTTCGGGTGTTGTAGTGGTATTAGCCCTTATAAATAAAAAAGTGTTTGTATATTGAATCAAAATCCTTGTACAGCATGAATGGTGAACAATGCCCTTGGTAACCACCAGGACGCTGGTTCGATCCTCATACCATTATAATTTTTTTTTCCAGCTACACCTATAGAACGACGCCGTTCTCCAGGCCACTTTCGATTCAGAGACGAGCACAAAACGATGCCGTTTTTTCATGTATCGTCGTCTTCCCTAGCCCCCCAAATTCCCAATTATCCAGTTGCCGCCGTCACCACCGTAATCCGACGGCCGTCTCTCTTCATCGTCCAAACTTTCTCACTATTCTGGACTCCGACCAAGAGAATTCCCTTTCATGTATCATCGTCTTCCCTAGCCCCCCAAATTCCCAATTATCAAGTTGCCGCCGTCACCACCGTAATCCGACGGCCGTCTCTCTTCATCGTCCAAACTTTCTCACTCCGTTACGATTCTGGACTCCGACCAAGAGAATTCCCTTGACGAGACCCAATCCCCTCTCTCCATTTCAGCCTTAGTCATTGTTTACAGGACGTAAAGGTCATAGTCTTTCACCGTCAATTGTTTCGGATTCGTCGGGAAAGGGTAGCTGTCATCTGCGACCTTAAAAACAGATGATGATGAGCCAAAGTCGATGTAGATCAGAAGCAGGGACGATGATGATGATGGACTGATGGTAAAATTAGTGGTTTGCAATTGGGGTATCTGGAAAAATCGTTATGACGATGATGGTGGTTTAGGATTGTCGAATTGGGGCAACCTTTTAATGGAACTTTATTTTATCAATTGTATAATCTTTGGGTGTTCATTAAAAGATCTAGAAGAAATAAGGTATCATCTGAGTCCTCACAAAAACGAATAGGTATCATGTGAGAAAATAAAACGCAAATTATTATTGGGGGGCTATATAGCACATTTAATTATTTAAGGGGTGCAATTAGTAATTATTATTAGTAATTTTAATATAATTTATAATGACCGTTAGATTAGATCTACGGTAGAGAATCCTGTCGCATAGTATGTGTCTGACGCATACGAGTCGTTTCCATATATATATATATACATATAAAATCATTCTCCTCAAAAAATTGCATATATCAGTACACAAAACTCTAAACAATTAAAAACTTACTGTCACTGTTAGAAGACGTGCTTGTTCCAGCAGGTTCATTAATCGATAGGGCTTCACACTTTTTGATCAAATCAGTCATGAAGGCCATGGTTGATTTATACAAATCATCATCCATTGAAACCCTGCTGATCATTGATGCAGAAACAGCTGATAGATTGAAAAGACGAGAATGGTATTTCGATGGACTATCAGTAGACGGAACTTCAAAAGAAAAGTTCCCTCCAGTTTTTGCTGCTCTTGTCCACCGCTTCAAAATCAAACTGCTAGGAATGTGCTGGAACTTCAGATTGCATGTTGTAGACCACAACATATCATATCCCTTAATTTGATGCTTACAGATCAAACCACTTGACTCCCACTTACGGCAGGAACACTTGATTTCACCATTATCAAAATCAACCTTCAACACCCTACTATCCAACCTAGGAAGGTCATCCTCCAATATGAAGACATCAAACATTCCTACATGTCCTTCTGGTTCTATCTCTGTATTTGAAAAAATATTATACGCAAGAGATTCCTTGTACTGATCCAGTAAAAACTTGAATATCTTCGGCGTATACACATTAGCAACTTGCTTCACAATAGGGCTAGTAGAAAACCGAGAATCAGCCAACCTAGATAAGGCATAGTACTCTTCTTGTTCTTTAGCATCCCTCTTATTATCAAGCATCCTCTCAAAGTGCACAAAGAATCTACTAACGCTAAACTCTGCCTGCAAGTACTGTCGAATATTACTATTGCAGCACTCACTTAGCTGGGTACTCTTCATTCCTGCACCAAAATAACAATTCACCCAGGCTGAAGACCACTTCTTCCTGACTTTGTAAATGCCCTGTAACCAACTGTGTCCCAAAGGTCCCTTCCCAGGAAAACACTTCTCAATCATCTTCTTCCAATTATACTCAAAATCATCCTCATCATCAGCATTATACATCAAATAACTAAGCTCACGAAGGAAGTCAGAGTCACACAAACTTCCCAGATTAACAACTGCATTATGAGCAATATGCCATGTACACAACCCATGAAAACAATCTGGGAAAACAGACCTTATACCAGCAGCAATTGCAGCAGCCTGGTCAGTAAACATTGATAACAGTCTCACACCTCCCATGCATTTCAAAAACTGATCGAAAAGCCATTCAAATGTTGCCGTTGTTTCATCATATAGAAGAGCAGTCGCAAAGACATTCAGTTGGTGATGATTGTTGAAACCAACAAACAAAGCTACAAAAACATAAGAAAATGTGAGTAAAACCAATTCTACCAACACATACCATGTGGTAAAAGGTACGAATAACAATAATACCAACCCGTACCATATGGTAAAGACTTCTAAGAACAAAAAAAACAATCCATACCAGACCATACCATATAGTACAGACTTCTAACAACGCAAAAACCACCTCAAATAACCTTGTTACCAACCCATACTATATGGTAAAAGACTTTTAAGAACAAAAACACAATCCATACCAGCCCATACCATATAGTACAGACTTCTAACAACGCAAAAACCACCTCAAATAACCTTGTTACCAACACATACCATATGGTAAAATACTTTTAAGAACATAAAAGCAATCCATACCAACCCATACCATATGGTACAGACTTTTAAGAACAAAATAACCATGATACAGAATGATAATAATAATAATAATAATCATCATACAAACTCACAAAGACAATAATAAACAACAAACTAGAAAACATACCTAGTGGCCGATACTCTTTGTTAGTCCCGTAAGTAGTATCATAACTAATTGAATCACCAAAATAATGATAATCCATCCTCATCTTCCCATCTGCCCAAAAAATACTAGCAATTTTCTCTTCAACATCAACCTCCACCTCATGAAAGAACCCAGGATCCAGCTGTGCTTGACGTCTAAAGTATTCAAGCAATGTAGTCGCATCACCATACTCCATTGATAACGTCCTCACCGTTCGCAGATGGTTCTTCAAATCATTCTTTGTGAACCCAACAAACTTCCGACCACCACCAGCCCTACTAATTGCATTATACGAAGAAGTCACACCAATACCAGCAGCATCATTCACCTCTGCCAACATCTTATACACAGGAGCCATTCGTCTACTGGATCTCACATAGTGACGCAGAGACTCAAGAATCATGTCATGGTTGTGCACATTATACCAACGATAGATCTTGTAGCATTTAAACTCTTTAAACCACCTCAGTCGTATATAAGCACCATTACATCCACCCCTGAGTTCTGGAACATTACGAACACGAACATTCGTATCAACAACACCTGCATTATCAGGGTTATTCTCGCTACCTCTTCTCCAACCTTCCTTATTGCAACAATACTTGATATAATATACAGCTGAAGAACCACCATTGAGCTTCGGACACGCTGATTGATTATAAATCCTCACACCAAAACCTTCATTATTCCCATAATCCACATAGAAATTGTATGCATCATCCGGTGTATTAAACTGTAAGTCCTTCCAAGAATCACGAACAGTAGGATCTATACCATTGAAACCTATAAACATTATGAAGCAACATATTAAATATGTAAAAATATAATACCACATGGTATAGCATGGTAAAACCAAATTACCACACTATACCACATGGTATGGCATGGTAAAATCAAATTACCACACTATACCATATGGTATGCCATGGTAAAATCAAACTACCACACTATACCACATGGTATGACATGGTAAAATCACTTACAGCAGCAACAAAAATCCCAAAAACCCACACTATACCACAAACTATACATGATAACATCAAATTACCATATTTTACCACATGGTATGACATGGTAAAATCAATTATCACACATAACCCCACCTTTAACTTGAAACTACCACACTATACCACATGGTAAGGCATGATAAAATCAAATTACCATATTTTACCACATGGTATGACATGGTAAAATCAATTATCACACATAACCCCACCTTTAACTTGAAACTACCACACTATACCACATGGTAAGGCATGGTAAAATCAAATTACGACACTATACCGTTGATTCCAACCATGGTACAAGTAATTACCACCATGGTATGATATGGTAAAACTTAAATACAGAGCACAATAACATCACAACACAACACTATATTATCACCTCTCATCGTATACCAGTAATTACCACCATGGTACCATATGGTATCTAACACATTCAAACTTCAATAAACAAACAAATTTGTATATCTTACCTCCTAATTCACCAGAGTTAGCTGAATGACCAAATCCAAGATCGATAGTTGAAGAAGCAGTTCCAACAACGCTAGATGAAGAACCAGATCCTACAACGCTGGTTGAAGAACCAGATCTATCAAATGGAACAACATCGCCACAATTTACGTAACTCATCTCACCAGAATACTGCAAAAAAACCAAAACA